ACCACCCACATCCACACCCCACACCCACACCACCCACATCCACACCCACACCATTTTTTTGAGTTTTCTTGTTCTCTGTTATGATATACCTAGTTCTGAGCTTTAGATACTTCGTTGAACTTTTGAAATGTAACAGCCCATGATTATGTGCGCCTACTACGTCTGAAATACTATAGCGGTTTGATTAGTTGTGATTGAAAAGCATGGCTACCTGTTTATGCTTTCGTAAAAACATACAGCATTATTTCAATCAGACAGACGTTCATTGCTTTGAATGGCTTCCCTCTGATGTTTCTTCGCAGAAAGGTAATCTTCTAGCACGAAGGACACTTGCATGCATGCTTTTTACAAACAGAACAGAATAGAAAAAGAAAAAGAAGGGCGACGCTTGTTGTTGAATGTTGGTAGCCAGATTTTTTTCCAACTTCCAAGAGAAGCAGTATAAGTGCGTCAGGAAAGTAAATTGAGATTGAATCAATAATTTTTATTCATAATCATAGGACGATACAGTTTTACTTTCATGTCTATAAATTGATAGCCATTGTTGTATAGAGCAATCTGCAAAATCATTCATTCATTCATTTTTCATATGGTGTACTTTAAATTCAAAAGACATCGATTCCGTATGAGGCTTTCGTAGATTCATAAGTTTACGTGCACGACGTAAGATATCTCTATACAAAAGTTGTTGTAAGTACAAAAAAAAAAGAAATGTAACAAACATATCTTAGAGCTCAAATATTTCTACTTCTGAAAGCAAGTCTCATTTAATTTATACAGGAAAAAGATCATAGAAAGTTTTATAGGAAGTATAATAATCCAAGTGTTTTATTGATATTTCTTAAAAAAAGGACTTCGATATTGTAACTAAGTTTTAGATACTTAAGCAAAATGGCTGACTCAGCCTCGACTGGCAAGCCTGACAGTATGAAAAATTTAAATCAACAGATCACGCAGTTGAGTGATGAACTTTCGAAACTGATGGCCAGACGTGATGCAAGGGGTGTTAATTTGACCTCTGCAGAAAATAGACAAATAGAAAAGCTTGAAGCAATGTTAAACAATTTGAAGCTCAAACGTCGAACGATATTAAATGCTGGTAATAGTCAAGTAACAGAGAAAACAATGAAACGCTTTTTATACCATACATATTCATAGTAAATGCGAATCCTTGTCACCTGTAGGATGCAAAGCAAAGTACAGCAGTGAATGGCATAAATGAATCAGAATGATTGTTTAGAACGTCATATGACAAATTCACTGCTAATTTCATGTTCATGAACGAACAATATTCTGCAGTTTTACTGGCAGGAAATAAAATAATTGTATGAAATGATCGTATTCCGCAAAATTATGACCATTCATCTTTCGCATCAATTCGGTTTATCTTATCAAAAATACTCTTGCTTACAAATGCATAATATAAACGAATTCAATCTTCGTGCACCAGCTTTTCAGAATCCTTTATTTATGCGACTTACATTCGTGAGCCACGCGTGAATATTTGACTCTGAATGAAATTCAATAATTGTATGGAATTATACTAAAAGCAAGAATAATAAGTTTTCGGTTATGTTGTGGATATCGATAGTTCATTGGTAAGAAGAGTTCCATTTGTGATGAACATAATTGATGAACAGAGTATTGGTATGTATGAACATTTCTTTGTGTTCGCTTGCAGCTGATAGGCGACAGACACATTCTTTGAACTTGAACTAATTGAATAGAAGACTGATATTTCATGACGCTTGCCTACTTGTATACATATACAATTTTTAGTTGATATGTGCCAAATATTTAGACAATCGTCAGACATGAAGATAAATTTAAATAATCAGAAGTGTGAACTGTGTTTCCAGAGTAAGATATAAATGGGAGTAACTTAAGAAGGAAGAACACAAACACTTAGTAGACTAGGCCAATGCTTGTTATTGTTCCATTATCAGATAGCTTGATTTGTGTTCTGAATTTGTCACTGTTCGGATTTTCATGTCTCTTACAAAAATTCATTCAGAGACCGTGGTCATTCTCAACATTTTGTGTATGATATTTTTAAAGTCAGAAGTTCTGAATTTGTTTTAGGAGTATTTAGTAGCTAGAATGTGTTGCCGTTTGTCGACTTGTGCAAATCTAAGGATATCCGTCCCTTTTCGGAGATCGAAATTGTTTTATTTCCCACTAAAATGTATACTTTGAAGTAGGCTCTATCGATCTGCAAAAGAGAAATAATCTTTTCACAAAGTCTTGACCTTGAAAACAATAAATTTTCAGACTTTCCCCTCCCATATCTGAAATAACTTAAAAATGAACTTTGTTGTGCATTTTTCACTAAATCCAAGATTCTACAGAAAAAGTACTGCCGCGCCCTCGCTTCTCCCACATGAAAAGAGGGATCTAGCTAACATTTTTTTTCACATTTACTAATCACTATTTGGGATAGGTAACGTTATTGCGGCTGCAACACAAATTGTCATAGCAAAAAAAAGCAGGTTTAGGGTAGTTTCGGCATACTAAGTTTTTATTGAAAGAACAAAAGATATAAGTAGAGCTAAAACACTAAGCATCCCAAATAGTATCTAGTATACATGGGAAAAGTGTCAGCTCGATTCTTATTATCATATTAGAGAAACAGAGGCAAAAAGTGAGGCCATATTTCGCTATTGGGATCCTTATATCCTATCGAAGGCTGGATATGAGAACTTTAAGTTCAGTACATCCTTTACTCTACTGTTTGAGATCGTTCAACCTTGAGAGTTTCGTACGGTTTTGACGAGGCATTCCCTAGAAACTCCGGAAAGGGATCGTAATACCCTTTATTCAAAGAAGTCCATGCTAGGCTCTCGTCTTATGGTAGTTAGTTGTATTTTTTGAACGTAGAGAACATCAATAGGATTTTGTAATACCTTTGCCTCTATTTATCTCTAAAAACCACTATATATTAGTTGAAAAGCAAGTTGCTGAGGAACAAGTGATTGAAGACCAAGTTCCTGAAGAACAAGTTGTTGAAAAAGAATCCGAGGATGCTGATTGGAACGAAGAGAAAGAAGGCAGTCTTGAATTAGCAAAAAAGAAGCAGGCTGTACTGAAAACATACTATGATGGCTTTCCAAGTATTGATGATGTTATAGATGAGACACGATCTGGTATACGCGAAGCAAAAGAATTTACCGAATCGATCCTTCACGATTTACCATCGGGAGACATTAGCGAGAGAACAACAGCGTGCCATGTATTGAAGAGTTTGCTTGAAAGCCGAAATATATCATGCTTATTTTTCGATTCCACTCATGGTAAAAATCTTTATGATGCATCTGGACACTTGGCTGAGCTGAACTTAGAAGACAGACCATTTGTATTAAAGTTGAGCAGTAGTGAAGGATTGGGAGACAGTATGGGACAAAAAACGGAGCATGGTACGATAAGATTTGTGCAAGTATTGAGTAAAACTATGGAACAAGAGCAATATCATCCGGTTATTGAAGACATATTGGAGCGCTTATCAAAAGCGCATGGGATTGATAAACAGTACATTTGTGTGAAAACCGTGTTTGCTGGAACATTTAATGTGGTTTATACAGTGAAAGATTTGGCAAACTGTGCTGTAAATTCACTTTCGGTTGTTGCACAGAAACTAAAAGTTCAATTCCAGCAATATCTGTGTGCGAAAATCCATCCATTATTGTTTCGACCGGCATTTGACATATCATTCTTTGACAAACAGGGAAATAAAACATTTACGAACCCAAATGAAACTCATCAGGTTGGACCACCGGGAAAAACTAAGACATATATCTCACCTGACGGATGGACGAGATACGGCTTCAAAGTGTTAGGCAAGTATCAAGATGGAAATGCTTGGTTGCATCCATTCAAAGATCCTGGAAATTGGTATCGAGCTTTTCATGGAACAGGAAGAGCACAAGCAGTAGATTTCGGTAATGATAAACAGTCATTCGAAAAACAGTATGCACCTGTCGATGCTGTCGCAAGTATCTTTGAAAATGGATTTCGTCCTGCGAGGATCACTGTTCATGGCGATGGTGTGTATTGCTCTCCAAATCCTAAGTTTCCTGAAAATGGGTATGTGGCAACTGTTGAACTAGACACACAAGAAGGAAAAAAAAAGTTTAAATGTATGTTGCAAGTAGCTGTGAATCCTGACGCTGTTAGATTTACGAAGGACAAGGATATATGGGTTGCACCTAATCCTGAAGACATTCGACCGTATGGTGTACTCATTAAAGAAGTTTGACTCAAATGTTCTTAGTAATGTCGCTTAGTTTTAGTAATGAACAATTTCTTTTCTTAAGTATTTTTCTTTCTTTGTCTGGAAACGACTTCTTTGCTATTTTTACATTGAATGAGCTTCATAACTATCTTTTGAGGGTGTGCTGTGCAGGTGTGGATGTGTGTATCTTCTGCGACAATCATATTCACACCTATCCTTATTATATTTGGTTTTTATTTTTGGCCTCTTGCAATTCAGAAGTTTATAACAATTTTAGTCTTGCCCAACTTTTGTATATTTCGACACTTGCCTGGTATTTTCATTTCGGACTTTTTGATGTTTTACTTTTCAGATTATACAATGATTTTGTTCTTCAGCGTCATATATGTGCGAGTTCGTTGTCCGAAAAATTTGACTTTATTAATATAAAGCTGAGTAAATTAGTCTTTGATAAACTTAACTTATTTATCAACGACAGAATTGTGTCAAACTATTTGTAATAGAACACATTGAATCGCTGCGACGATTTGCACAGATATTTATGAATGGCACAAAGTAGATCATTAGAATACGAGTAAAACATTAAACATGGGCATACCAAGTGTAGATATAGCGTTTTATATTTTAATCAACCTCTTCGATAATATTTTGTGATACGAGCAGTCAGTTTCAATTATGATATGAACAATTTCATATTAAAATATGTCATAAGCTAGATTAGAGTCCTAAATTTAATACTTGAAACATGAAAAACTTCACTAACAAATGTTTTCCAAGAATCTTTTTTAAAAACTCAAATGTTCTATCAACAGTTCATCTTTTCATTTTCAACGTGTACATGTATTCTAAACGTCTATTCTTGCACTATTCATGTACACCAGAGTAAATTTGCTCCATGAATTAGTTATACATTTTATATTAAACAAATAATCACAAGTAACGTGCCCAAGACTGACGGAATGATGACAAATATGTCCTTATATTCTTAAATCAAAATGAATTTCGTACAATGATGAGTTTAGGAGAAATTATTAATCTGTGTAACATGTTCTATATTACATGCTATAGATACATATAAATATTTCAGATAAAATATTGAAAGATACTAATGTATATGATAAAGTTTATGCTTTAGTTAAGTATAACGACTAAAAATTGTGATTTATGCCAAAGTAATGGCCATTTCTAATACGAGAATGGCCAATTGTGACACAGAAATGCTCATTTGAGCCATAAGAATGGTTAACTGTGCCATAGAAACAGTCGATTGTATAATGAAAATGGTCAATTGTATCAAATAAATGGTCACCTGTACCACCAAAGTGGTACTTTTGTACCATGAAAATGGTCACTTATACCACGACTATGCGGGTGTGGGTGTGGTGTTTGTGTCGTTCTAGTTTCCCAGTTATAGTCACATCCACACCCCACCCTACGAAATAACTGAATCATCAAATATTTTTCTGGACATGAAAGAAGAAAAGGTATAAAATCATAAACACATTTGTGTCATAGCTTACAATTTGAAACAATGAATAATAATGAAAATATTCGTTGATTAATTGAAGCACACAAAGAAAAATTGAGAAAAAAACGACGAAAGCGCAATTGTTCAACATTCTTGGAACATTTAGCTAATGAATTATTTGCTGAAATATTCTCTTATTTAAATGGAGTGGATGCTTTTTTTTGCCTTTTCACAATTTAATCATCGCTTTCAATGTTTACTTATCGAAAATTGTTAATTCTTTGATTATAAATGAATAAGTAAATTTAAATTTGACCTTATCTTTCAACATCATAATACAAAACGATGGAAATAATTACGAATTTCTGATAACGAACACACACCTGACGATATAGAATACTTTTGCCAATTTTATTCTTTAGTCAATGATTTTCCTCAATTACAATCATTATCCATTGTAAATGTAGATTCACAGAAAACATACACTATTTTATCACAACTTCCATCTTTAACAAATCTTCTTTCATTAACAATTCAATCTATATGTGGTGACAGTATGTCTCAATTCGATCTTCCAAATCTAAAAAGACTTGTTTTCACTTCTTGTTTAAATATCGATCGGATTAAGGTGAAACTAAAAATATATAAAATTTAACAATTTTCGTTATTATCTTTTAGAATTTTTCTCGAACTTGAAAGTATTGAATACACAATAGGAAATTGTCATTTGCATATAAAAGATTTACCATGGCCATCAACATTAACACATCTTAGCATTATCTTTGATTATGACGGATATTTTGATCGTATACAACGTTCTCTTGTTCATTTATCATCATTAAATAGTCTTGAAATTTATCAAAAAGAAAAAGGAACATTACTTCCTAATGGTCAACTATGGGAAAACCTGATTCATTCATCACTTCCATTATTAAAAATCTTCAAATTTTATTTCCAATTCGAATATTCATCACAACTATCTAATCAAATTGAACAAGTAATATCATGGTTTTCTACACCATTCTATGTACTTAAAAATAAATGGTTTATTCGTTGTGATATACCTGATAGATATCACGGGCGTGCAATTCTCTACTCACTACCATTTTCCTTTCAAATCTATACAACTTTTCAAGGTTCTATCATCAAAACTATTTTAACTTTATTGGACGATGATAACAATGATTTCTATACGAATATATTCTCAAATGTTAAAAAATTATAAGTCCTCTATAAATCTTCTGAGCCCGATGGAAATTTTAATAGAAGTGAAGTAATTAATTTAATTATTCATAGTGAGTTTGTCTCAATCCAATGGATACATATATTGACTAAGCGACGACATTTAGAGATTCAGTCTTACGCAATAATAGCAGCAGAAAACTTTCTTTGTTTATTGAAAAATACACCTCATTTATGTTCATTAAATGCAGAAAAGAGTGTTTTACAGAAAGCAACCGAATATTGGAATAATGTTACCATATGTGATCATCTATCTCGTAAGATTCTTTCTTTAAAATTACATGGGAAAAAAGTACGATCACGATCTATAAGTTAAAATGAAATCCAATAAATTATTCGAATTTTCTCTTCGAAATGCCAACATTTATTTTTATATGTTCAGTCACCAACCGACACAATTGGTTTAATTTTACAAAATATGTTTCAATTACATAGTTTGCATGTCACTGTGTATGAGAAACCATATCCATCCATTGATATGACATGGTGACAAAAGCAACAGATTATATTCAATAGTTCTAATTGTATTATTGTTAATAACGAACCTAATCTTTATTTTTGGTTGGGACAACATCAGTGATACAAGAACTTGAGGGATGTTTCAGTGACAACCAATAAAAACATTTGTTTTCTTATTCATTACTTGGAAACGAACTAGAGATGTGTGGGACTAAGCCATTTTGGTCCTGATATCTTCTTTACCATGATCTTATCTTCAGTTATAACAGCAACGATTCGATCGATAATACCATAAACTTCTTCTAAATATCTCCAACAGACAACTCAAGATAAAATCTCGAATAAATGCAATTGAGAATTATTTGGACTTGTTATTTGATTCAGAAAAAATCTTGTGCATTGCACATCATTGAAGAACATATCCCACTTGACTTCGTTACTTGCATAAGATATTTTTGATCTTTCATGTTTCGTATCATTCTCGAAAGCATTTGATGAAATTTCAGGATGTGGTGTGGCTGTAGCTGTAAGTATAAATGAAGAGAAGATCCATATCTACACCCACACCCAATCTTGGTATACATGTCTGTGATGCATATTTTTGTTGTGCTTTCTATCATCGAAAGAACAAAATCAATTGTATGCTCACAAGTTGGAGAAAGTGAAAAATGATCCAGAAATTTACAATAAAAAAAAAAACTTTACTAATAAAAGCTTCAACTCAGACGAATAATCTAAACTAATACAAAAGAACAAAAAACAGAAGACATTTTTAACAAATTACAAATCTTTCTAACCAAGCATATGATGTTTCTTTTTGGTAAATACATCATAAGGTCAAATTTTTCATGTGGATGTGGATGTATGAAGAGTGTAAACAGACCTACATAGGTATGTGCTCTCAAATTCACTATTTAATACAAGTATTAGAAGGACTACAAATAACTTGTGCGTCAATATGAAGAAAAGATTTCAAGTTGTACTTCATAAGAGTATATATCTTCTGTAATTTTTTTTAAACAAAATACACATCTCTGTCATATTTCTCTAAGATACTCAAAAATATACTATCGAAAATAGACATTTTTTTCCCTGCTATAGATGTCATAGAAATATAGTTCACCGTTGAAAGAAATGAAAATCATGGAAAAACTTTTGAAAGTGCTGAAAAGCTTTCGGACTGATTTTTGTATATTACATAAAGAATTATGAAACTATGAAAGTCCTAAGAAGATACGGATACAGGTTAGTTTTTGATGAGAATATCGAAATTCAACTAAAACATAGAACTCAATTAGATGAGTTTGTACGGAAGGTTTCTGAAACTTTGAATATCGCATGTTCGAAAAAGTTAGTTTTCAAAAATCAAGTTTTTTAAAAAAAAAGTGCTTATATTTTGAAATCTTAATATCTCGAAGTTGCAATGTTCAAAATTGCAGAAAATTTTCATACAAACAAGTGTAGCCAATATCCATAGTAACATAAAATTACAAAATATAATTATAATCGATGTTTATGGTTTGAAAATATTTTCATTGGCTCTAATATAAAAAAAAGAAAGCTACAATTTATAAGATATTATATTCTGATTTAGGCATAAATTTTGTCTTTATTGAATACAATAGGTCTAAAGATTTTTTCTTCAATCTATGATTCCTAAGATTGTGATTGATGGTTTCAGTGTTTCATTGACTAGGTATATTTTTTCCTTATCATATTTATTTCAAATTTTCTTGGAAGTATGTACACGTGATTGCAGTAAAATCAATGAAAGCGTCGCATTACATAAATGCGTCATATTTTCTATCACGCTAAAATATAATTGTTGGCTGACAATATTTCCGATCATGAAAATTTTTCAACATATACTTCACTTTGTATATTTCTCGGAAAACAGTTTGGATGTGAGATCTTTTCCTCATCTGCACGCAAAACATATGTTTCTACTACATCAGGACTAGCTGAATGTCCATTTTCTCAAGAAGACCTTTCAATAAAATTACATTGTTCTAATGTAACACAAGCTAATATTTGTATTTTAACATTTTTAAAGTACGTTGAAGTATTTATATAAATAGTGGTTAATAATTTTTGCTTGCAAGTAGGTTAAAGTTTAGCTTTTAGCTTATAAAAAAAATGATATTTTTTTGCTGCGATGTAGATTTTAACAATGGATTCGATGTTTCAGATAAATCAAAATTTACATCACTACCTTTAGTCTAATGATTCTCTAAGTAATAGAGCGTATCAATCAAATAATACAAATCCCCTTTATTATTATGTATCCATGCATTCAATGATAATGTTGATGTCGCTCTATCGTGCTTTTCACTGTATGCTTACTGTCTTGTTTTTTCTCTTTTTCAATGATTCATCCTGTGCATTCATAACAACAAAAAAACATGCTTAAATTACTTTTTTTTGCTCGAGAACTATTGGCTCACGCAGTGCAGAATATAGAAAGGAAAAAAACACGTACCGCATTTCTTTTTCTCATATATGCTTCTGCTCATACCCTTGAAGGGGTAAAAGCTTGAGAAAAAAAAAACACATTGTGTGTCGTATATCGACTCAAAGTTACATAGCAATATAACTAACAGAAATAAGATCAACATCGATTTATTCGTAAGTTTGAATACTTCAGTTTGTTATTTTTTTTTTCGAAAGAGAATTGCATCGACGTCTATATTTATAAAAAAAATTCAAATGAAACTAACCATAAGAAAACGAAAAAAAAGAGAACTATTTACATAATAAATGCAATAACATAGAACCAATCGACCGTTTGAAATACAGAACAAAATAGCTTAATAATATTTTTCTAGGAAATTATATTAGCGTACAGTAAAATTTTAATATTATAAATATTGACAATAACGACCCAAGATGTCGAATGATCAATTTTGGAATGATATGTCATCGTTGGATCTTGACGATTTATTTTCACTGATTGATGATTCTAATCTTCAAACTAAAGATAATCAATATTTTATGTTAGATGATGATATGATGGAAGAAATGACGTCTTCATCGTCTGAAGTAAATGATATATATATAATGAGTATTTTTAAATAATATCATTTAATGTTTCATTAGATTGATCAAGATCAACTACAAACATCATCACCAGAGAATTGTTCAAAAGAAAGCTCTCAACGATCAAGTTTAGAATGTCGTGTTTGTGGGGCTCCAGCTTGCGGTATGAATTTTGATCAAATCACTTGTCAACCATGTAAAGCATTTTTTCGTCGAAATGCATTACGAGATATGGTAAGAAGTACTGCATAATTTAAAACAGAACTTACACACTATTGAAGATTCAGTTCGTTAACTCATTGAAATACTTCTATTGCTATCCATTGTAGATAATTTTGTATGACACATACGTGCATAACCACTAGATACATGAAAATAATCAGAGCTTTATTATTAAAACGTGTCTAAATGTCTGAAGTCATTCAAACTCGTTGTTTGGTCATGGATTGAATTTAATGCGACTAATAAAAAGCTAAAAGGGTTCATACTCATAGCTTATCCTTATGGAATTATTACCATTTTAATCAGTTAGTTAGTTAGACCCTTTACCGTTCCCAGTGTAGGATAAGAAAAAAATACATAACAATTAACAAATCGAAAATATCGAAGTTTTTTGACGAATCAACATTTCTATTTATCGATAACATTTCCGTTGAAGTTCATATCGTTAGACTATATATCATAGCTTCCATTCAGAATATGACCGAGTCATGTTTTAATTAGACAATAGTGAGATCAATAAGAAAAATAACGTAAATAAAACATAATCAAATGTTTATTTGGCAATGAAGCTAACAAGTGTGATTTGAAAATATCATTGTTGTATTTCTTTCATCAAAATTAGATTCATGAAAAATATGAGAAAGAGATTTGATTGTATCAATTAGTAATCTAGCTTGTGAGTTTCAATATGGATCAAAAGGATGACTCCTAGCCAAAATTCATCTATTTACACGTCCTTATTATGTGAAACGATGTAGAAAATTTATGATTAAGACATTGATAGACGTGACCCATCAACGTAGTCAATAGAAATTTTCTTAATCCAAGTTTAATTCACAATCATTATGCATTCAAGTCGAGTCTTCTCTTATGCCGAAATGACCTAACAATGATATTTTTTTGTTTAGTCGCAGTTGAAATGTCAACAGTCGGGTTCGTGTGATATTAATATTCAAACACGTCGTTTATGTCCATATTGTCGATTAAAGAAATGTTTTGATATTAAAATGCGTAAAGAATTGATACTTTCTGAAGAAGAAAAAAAATCAAGATATGGAATGAAATTAGCAAAACAACACAAGAAAATAACGGATCGATCAAACGATCAAAAATCTCTTGCTATTGTTCCAACAGTTCTACGAAAGAGAAAAAACTTAATAATAAAATCAATAAGCCAAGATATTGTCACTTATTCGGTAAATACAAATTATTAAATAACATTAATAATCTATATATTCTTCTTCTAGCTTTGTAAAATGCAGCGCTTTGATTATAATCATATTCTACATGATGATCATCGAATATTGTTAAATAATATACATAATGCTTATCAGTTCGTAGTAGATGTACATGATTTTTCCTATATTGAAAGATATACATCATCTACACCTTTCTCACAGTTTATTAATGACGAAACTGTTGTGCATGAATCATTAATTAATTTTTTTAAATGTATACCAGAATTTAAACAATTAGATATAAACGATCAAGTTCTATTGATCAAATCTAATTTTGTTAATATTATACATTTACATCATATGATGGTACATAGTTTTCAAGATTGGACAAGTCAACGTGAACACATGTCCAGATGGATAAGTAAAGATTTTCATAGTCAAGTAGTTCGAACACGTCGATATCTTCTTCCTTTTATGGATAATCCATTAGTATTAAAACTTGCATTAATTGTTTTTATCTTCAATATTAATTTATCTACATCATCTGATATTAATCAAGATTATCATTATACAAGTAAGAGAATATTCATTGAATTTCAAAATTTTTATACAAATGTTCTATGGAATTATTTAAATTATTTATTTGATGAAAAAGAAGCAATAAAAGCAATGCTAACAATAGTTATGCAAATTTTACGTTATCAAACACTAATGGTTACAATGAGTAATTCTGTAAGGCAAACTCCAGATTGTAATAGATTTCATTCATTAATGCAATCTGTATTTGGACTTACTTCAGAAATAGATTGATATTAATATTGCTTCGTTGGATGAATGCTCTTCTATTGACTAAGATTAAATTTAATCAATGAAAAATAGAACAACTTAGGAATTATATGAACATATATACATACATACGTATATTTGTACAATCACTTGTATAATTGTATCATGATGCATTTTGTTATGCGCTCGGTTTTTTTTCAAAAACTAATTGAAAAGATTTTTGAATAAAACACGATAAAATATAGACGAGGATGTATGAAAAAAAACTTGATTAGTTTCTTCACCAGTCTTATATTTCTGTTCTCCTCTTCAGAATGGATAGAAATATTGTCGAGATTTTCCACTTATATAAGGATAACTTTCCTCTTTTCATAATAAAATTTAATTGCAAGTAAAAAATCTTCGTTAACTCATGAATATTACGGCAAAGTTCAATTAGAAAGAATCAAAAATCTATAAATGCATATTTCAGAAGAATTCTGTGATACATAAGTAATTAACTGAACATTCTCATATTTCTACAGTATAGTCATACCATATATTGTAGAAAAACTACATATCTTTTTTCCTTGTAAGGGATGTCATGGACATATATTTTATTGTTCGGACAAATAAAATTCACAAGGAAGATTTTAGAAGTTCCGAGAAATTTTCTGTACGTTTTTTATGTATTGCTTAAAGAGCCATTAGAATATGAAATTTTAAAGATGATATACGTGCAAATTACTATTTAATAGATATGTTGGGGGGGGGAGTGGGGGGGGGGGAGAAATTAATATTCAGGGCAATTTTAAATTCACCTAGCAATGACATAAACTACTTTCAAAAATACATCGTTTTATACAAAAAAACAACAATTGAAACGATTTGTTATATGAGATATCATATGTTAGCACCTATAAGAATTATTCGATATTTTTACAGGCATGCTTTTTTTTTCAGGTGACATTTTGTACAACACTTCACATGATTTGTTTTCCATGGACAAGCTTTTGTAGCAGAGCTACCAACAGGCCAACTTTTTTCAGCCTGACCTATAGGCTATAATTCAATAAGCAGCCTACAGGCTAGCCTGCAGGCCAGGCCAGGTGTGGATGTGTGGTTGTTGATCATGTTTCTAGTCCCACCCACCCAGTGAAAAAATGTCAGATTATAACCAGATTTTTGTGAAACAAAATCCACATTAAAATCGATTGAAATCTTCTAAATCAACTATAATTTGATTTTTTAATCAAAAATAATTGTCTTAATCAAGTATGACTTTGATCAAAATCATCTATTTTTGATTTCATATGATTTTTAATGAAACTATAAGATATTAATCAAAATTATATTTGATTTAGAAGATTTCAATCGATTACAATTTCGATTTTGCTTCACTGAAATCTTGTTATAATCTGTCATAATCTTGTCATTTTTCACGGAGCATATCCACATCCAAAATGGTGGAAATGATAATACATTTTGATAAGAAATATACAGGAAGATATGTTGTAAGCTGAGGAATTGAATGATATAATTTTTTTTATCGAACTGAACAGTTTTTTCCTACGAAAAAACTGTTTTTCTGAGCACTACCGTCAAATCCCATCTAAATGATTGAATTAGAAAAACAACAGAACGAGCAAAAGTGTCAACTTAACGTTTTTGTAATCGGCAATACTCATTTAGAAATAATTAATTAATAAAAAAAATCAGCAGGCATGTAGAGTGTCACCCATTCTATCCAGAACGAAAAAGAATGTACTCAAACGGACGTTCTAGTGCTAAGATACGAGCTTTTTTCTAAACACTATTGAAATTGCTAATCGAATTTGGGTCAGTCAATCTATAAATAAAATATCATTGCATGATAAATAATCAAATATGTCAAAAAATAATTTCATTAGCTAATTGATCAATCCATGTCAATGATTGTTTCTAAGAGCTTGTGTATTCTGTTTTGTTGTTAAATTGTATATATTTTATTGAGATAACGAGAAGAATATGTTGAAGATATTTGCTGTAATCAATGTATGTTTAAAGACAATAAGGTAATGACTACATTCAGAGGATCTAATCTTTGTTAATTTTATGCAAAATTTTCTTTTGATGTATATCAATTATTTGCTCAACAATAAAAAAACATTTTTTTAATACCCGTTAATAAGCAAGACAAACGTTTTTTTTTGCTTTTATTATTCTTATTCAACTAAACTTGACTTAAAGATTATTCGAAATAATTTTATATTTGCTATTTTTTTCCCTTTATTCATAAAACAGAACAGCTTAATAAGAAAGAATAATAATTATGAATTTCTTTTTTCTTTTTTACAAAATTATGAATTATGAGATATTACAGTTATTAAATTATGATGGTTTGTATTTCATCATTTTTGATTAACAACAAGAAAATCATCGGTAAATGGTGAATTTTGTTCATTTGAGAAGGGTGTGGGTGTGAGTGTTTTATTCTATTCTCCACATCCACACTCTTCTTTGTCAATTCCATTGATATTGTTTTCATTCCTTTTTTTATTCAAAATAGAAAGTAATATGAAATATATAGATTATTCAATACGTTTGGAATAAAGAAAATAATTAATGAAAGAGAACATATAAACTAAAAGAATGAATATTCAAATGAAAAATAATTTTCAATATGATAAGACGATTGCATTTTAAAAAATCACAGTTGAACATCTGTTAAGAAGTCAAAGCCATAATTTAAATGTTCGTTTAGGATATTCACTTATAAATGAATCTGAATCATTGAATGGTGAATGGTTACGAAGCCATTGACGAATACTATCTTGAAATTTTTCTGACAAACCATATATTTCCAATGATATAAGAGAAGACCATTGAGTTAATTGATTGAATATAGATAAGATTACTGATTCGAAACTCTTATCACTCATAGGTATATTTATATAAAGATGTTTAAGACGTTTGAATATTGAAGAAAGTCGAGATATAGTCGTTGTCACTTGTTCAAAAACATCAGAATATATTATAAAAATATATAAATGAGTAATTCGTTCTTCGAACAAATGACAAATCGATTGTTGTTCGAGTAATGAATGAAGAGATGTGGAATGTATATTCAAATCAAACAGATTAGGTGATGATTGTAATAATTCTTGTAAAGATTTTGAGTCAACTGATGATTGTATTAATAACAAATGAGTAAGATGAATAAGTTTACATAAACGATTTTCTTTTCCAGATTCTAAAAAAACAACATAAAATACCATAAATTCTTTTCTTTTTAAATAACTTACTTAAAACAAGTTCATTATTGCCTTGAAAATCTAAATATTTAACTTTTCTACATTTTATTAATATGGGAAATACTTCAGAAATTAAATTTGGTACTCCATATAAACATAAAGATTGAATTTTATCGAAATAATTCTTGACAGAAAATAAATTCTTAAAGAATGTACTCATAATACCCAAATGTGAAAAACTAATAGGTATTGTATATAGAATAATTTTATTTTGATCATCACTTATAAGACAATCGAATTGTTGAGGAAATTGTTCCCATGTTGAAAGAATTTCTTTTCGATTAATAGAAGAATCTGATGTATAATTAACTAAATAATTAAATTGTTTTAAATGAAATAATGATAGAAAAGAATTGAAATGATTTCCATTAATTAAATGAAAATCATCTGTATTATCGATTTTAATGGAAAGTTTTTCAATATTTATTGTTCGATTTAAAATAGATAAAAGTTCATTGAAATTAAATGAATATCCTAATGATAATAAATTTAATTCAATAAGACTTTCAACAAGAGAATATTCTTTTTTATGATTAAATTCTGATGATTCATATTGAAGAACGACATGAATTGTTTCAATTTGTGGTAAACGAGTTAATAAATGATGAAGATCATTTAATTGTTCAAGAAAAATTTCTAATTTTTTTATATTTGAATATATTGAATGATTATTTTTATCAATTATTGTCAAAGGTATCGATTCACGATCATAACAAATTGAATTTAAT